TTTCCTTCGGTAGTTGGATTCTGGTTTGGTTTAGTGGAATAGCTGATTGAATATGCTGGGATTTAAACTCTCTCATTATTTTCTAATTCTTGGTTTTTAACCTAAATCGTCTATTGAGTTATAAACAAGATGGGAGAATCCTCGAGTTTCTAGCAGACGACTAAAAACAAAGAATCCTTTGTTTTCAATGTAAATAATCTATCGACTTTTACCTTTAGCCAGATTTTATGTTTTTAGTTACCAACTCTTTCGGTTAACACTCTCAACCCCACCCTCAAAAATTGAAATAAAATGAAGGCAAGATTTCCTAGTCTAAAGTTCTTTTTAAAAAAAAAAAAACCCTAGTCCCAGTTTAGGGTGGCAAATTTAACATTCAAGATAAATAAATAAAAATTTCAAAATATGAGGCTAAGCCTGGTACATTCAAACTTAATGCATAAATAAGATAAATACTTGTAACAATTCAATCAGTTCTTTTTCTTCAAAATGGTCATGTAATTTGAGTAAAGATTAAAAGACAAATATTATCAAATTCTAACTACATTTTTAAAAGCTAACACTTCCACATGCTTGATCAGTTCATCTCTGCCTTTGAAATTACCTGTAAGATGACTAAAAATGACTAAAAATGCCTAAAGGGGGTGAATAGGCCAATTTAATATTAAATCAATAAATAATAATAACTATGGGGAAAATCCACAGGACTCCTCAATCCAAAACAAACCCACTATAGAACGATGATTACAAGTACTCACACACTTATTATTTTATGTGGTAAAATCCCCTCTCTAGGTAAAATCCATAGGACTCCTCAGTAAAAAAAAAAAATCATTATAGAACGATGATTACAAGAAATACTTACATACTTATCCTAGACACATTCTAGATAATGTTTACAGACTTCTTCGTAACTCAACTTCTGTCACGAGATGATTTTTCAACACTCTCTATGTTGAACGAAATACTGGTCACGATTGTTTCAAGCTCACCGGAGAAAAACCGCTACCACGGTCTTGGTGCCCTTAATCGTATGAGTCCCCAATTAATGCAAATGAATGCAATATGAATGATAAAAGTATTTGATAAATCACCGAGTAAACATGGAATACTTAATGATTTATCTCAAATAAAAACTTAGCTTTCCAAACATTATGGACTAGAAATATGATCATGAAAGCTACATGAAGAAAGAAGACAAAGCCTTATTATCTAAGTGATTTTCTTCACAAGGAAGAAAACCTGCGTTCAACACACAATCTCCACAATTGAATGCTTGACATAAAATCAATGATATGATCCTACGCTACTATGTATAAAACTCACGTGTACTCCAAGTAGGATATTCACAATCACTTTATCAAAGATTCCTAATATTCTTGAATTAATTCCAAGACTATCCCAACCCTTTAGACACATTGATCTGATTAAAAAAGTGACTGCCAATCAAAAATACTTTCCAATACAAAGGAAGATTACCCTTGAGGCACAAGGAAATACCAACGTGATCTTCAATCAAAATACTTGAAAGACAAGTAGGAATTTTATAATAAAAGAAAGAAAGAATAAACAAAAGATATTGAAAAATATGCCTAAATGAGATGCACTTCTAAAGGGATTCTTATTGACTTAAGATCAGAGAAAATCATGAAAATAAAATCATATTAAATGCCAAAAACGTTCTTATCATGTATGCATGAGAAATGCCATGTCTTACCCTTCAAATCAAATGTCTCGTACGTGTAAAGTCACAATTTTGGAATTTGGGGATGCTGAGCTATTTTAATCCTGCAGTTTCTGGAAATCAGAGACATCAATTTTTCGTCAACCGTATAGCTAAATGACACTTCCAATCTTAAGTTTTAGGAAATACCAACACAATTTCATACTAACAGCCTTCCTTAACCTACTTGAAATTTCATTTCATCCTTAACAACCAAAACAAAATAGCAGCAACTTACTTCAAATTTCTTTGCATCTTCAACACTCAAAGCAGAAGAGCAGCAACCTACTTGACATTCCTCTGCATCCTTAACAACCAAAGCAAAACAAAAATTTGTTTGCATCCTTAATAGTCAAAGCAAAACAGTAGCAAGCAACCTACTTGAAATCTCTTTGCATCCTTAATAGCTAAAGCAAAATAGGAGCAGCACCACCTACAAGATAAAGGTAAAAAACAACAAAATCACAAAAAAAAAAAAGTATTATTGAAATAATCTTCTTGCATTTTGAGAAGCAAAATCCTCAATTATGCTTTCAAATTCAAGCTTTTCTAGCTTATCCTTTTCAATGCATAAGATTTCTAGCCCATTTAGCCTTTCTTGTGACATGGTCGACCTCATTGAAGATTTCAATAATTTTAATTTTGAAAAGCGTCTTTTTGGAGATGCAATAGTATTCTATAGACAATCAAAACATTTGGAAAACAGTCCATATTGTTTACAAACTCTACAATTTCAATTGTTGTATTTGCTTCTCTTGGTAAGATCAATTGCAGCACATGTAACTCTAAAAACACATCACTTACATCAACATAAGAAAATTCACAATTTCTAAAGTAGTTTCAAGATTCACATAACATTTTTTCAATTCATTATCATTCAATGAAGTTAACTTCTTTGAATTAAACAAGACCCAAAAATACCTTCATTTATTTGCATTTGTTTAAACCTACTCTTTAGTGAAGAAAGAGCCATATCCACTACACCCAAAAAAAATAAAAACAAAAATTAATTGACTCCAAATGATTTGTCAACTAATTGTATTATCTCATCATTGGCATTCTCATAAAAAATAGGGTAAATATTACTTTACTACCCGGAAGTTACCCGAAATTCAAACTTTGCTACACAAAGTTTTTTGGGAGTTTCACTAAAACACCCAAAATGGGGCTGAAATTATAAAAAAACCCAACACCCAAAACACTTTATAAACACACCCAAAACCCATCATTACACACACTCAAAACCCATTTATAAACACACCCAAAAAATATACAATTATTGATTTTGGGGTTAATTTTGGGTGTGTTTCTATGTTTAAATAGTATGTGGGTTTTTTTATAAATACATGTCTAGGATTGGGTTTATTTATAATAATCTAAAGTTTTTTTCGTTTCAGTCTCATGCCTAAACCTTGATTTTACTACCACTTTCATACCTCCGATAGTCTGATCGTTAAGTTTTCCATTAAACGATGACATGGCATTCATAGCTCCACGTGGACGAATAAACAATTAAAAATTTGTATTATTTTATAAAAAATTAAAATTAATAAAGCTAAAATTTTAAAATCAAATGTATAAAAAATTAAAAAAAAGTAACACAAACAAAAAACTAAAATAAAAACAAGAACATTCAAACCAAGCCCAGAAAACCCACCTAACCCTCTATCTGCCTTCCCCTACCCGCCCACCCGCCCCCTCCTCCTTCTC